GTACGGCCCGCGATACTCTATGTGTCTCAAGTCTCTCAGGTCAGCATGCATGGAGAAAGTGGCAGCTCTCTTCCGGGGCAGTGTTGTGGTCGCTTATATAGGTGTGTGCTGTGGCGGGTGTTCCCGGCGCGCGGCGGCGGTCCCCCCTAGCCGCTTGCCCTACTTAACCGCTGTCTCCTGTCTCGGCTCGAGCGGAATCGAGCCAGAAAACGAAAGGCTAGTTCCATTTCACTCTGACACGCTAATCTTGAAAACGTCCAACGGAGCTCCGTGTTGCTCCCAGCGCCCTCCCCCGCGCTTCATGCGGCCATGGCCGATGATACTAGTATGAGAGGTCATCTGGCTATCGCGAGCGCGACTCAACTCGCCGACGTCGTCCGATGATTGTGCCTCAAAGTCAGCCTCCCGAGGCTATCGTGTGTGTGGGGGGGGGTGCAGAGCAGCCGAGAGTTCTTGGGAAAGTGTTGTGGGCATGTCGGCCGAGGTGTGCAAACACCGGGAGGCAGAGACGTGAGGGCGGCAATTTATGGGCGGCGTCAGGGCGGAGTCAGGGGGCAGTGCAGGGGTGCAGTTCCGGTGCAGTGAGGCGAGGGCAGAAGAGGTGAGGTCTCTTCCTGCACGAGGTGCAGTGAGGCGAGGGCAGAAGAGGTGAGGTCTCTTCCTGCACGAGGTGCAGTGAGGCGAGGGCAGAAGAGGTGAGGTCTCTTCCTGCACGAGGTAGGCGAGCAGCAGCGTGATGTCGCGCTGGTGAGGCTGCAGGTAGCGCTGGAGGTACGGGAAGAAGTTTGGCAGCTGCAGCCGGTGCGCGCCGACGAGGCGCGAGAGGAGGTTGATCATCAGCAGCCGCACCTCGAGTCGTCCACACTGCCCGAGTGTGAACGACTCGAGGTGCGGCTGCTGATGATCAACCTCCTCTCGCGCCTCGTCGGCGCGCACCGGCTGCAGCTGCCAAACTTCTTCCCGTACCTCCAGCGCTACCTGCAGCCTCACCAGCGCGACATCACGCTGCTGCTCGCCTACCTCGTGCAGGAAAAGACCTCACCTCTTCTGCCCTCGCCTCACTGCACCTCGTGCAGGAAGAGACCTCACCTCTTCTGCCCTCGCCTCACTGCACCTCGTGCAGGAAGAGACCTCACCTCTTCTGCCCTCGCCTCACTGCACCTCGTGCAGGAAGAGACCTCACCTCTTCTGCCCTCGCCTCACTGCACCTCGTGCAGGAAGAGACCTCACCTCTTCTGCCCTCGCCTCACTGCACCTCGTGCAGGAAGAGACCTCACCTCTTCTGCCCTCGCCTCACTGCACCTCGTGCAGG